CTTTCTTATGGCATTGTAGACTTGGTCATATTAATAAAGAAAGACTTGGCGAGCTATTTCTTATGGCATTGTAGACTTGGTCATATTAATAAAGAAAGACTTGGCGAGCTACATAAGCATGGATATTTAGATAAAGAAAGACTTGGCGAGCTACATAAGCATGGATATTTAGATCCATTTGACTTTAAGTCTTATGATATTTGCAAGTCTTGTTTTAAAGTTAAAAAGAGCAAGACTCTATTTACGAGAACTGGAGAAAGAGTTATAGAGCTCTTAGGACTGATACATAGTTATGTATATGGTCCTATGTCTACAATGGCCAGAGGTGGCTACTCCTACTTTATTACTTTTACTGATGATTTCCTATGTCTACAATGGCCAGAGGTGGCTACTCCTACTTTATTACTTTTACTGATGATTTTTCAAGATTTAGACATGTGTTTTTGATGTGGCTACTCCTACTTTATTACTTTTACTGATGATTTTTCAAGATTTAGACATGTGTTTTTGATGAAACATAAGTCTGAAGCATTTGAGAAAATTATCGAGTATAAAAATAAACTAGAGAACCAAACGAGCAAGAAAGTTAAAAATTTTCGATCGGATTGAGACGAATACTTGAGCTCAGAATTCTTAGGGTTTTTAAAAGAGAATGAGATTCTCTCTCAGGTTACTCTACCCTTTACACCACAACATAACAGTGTGTCAGAAAGGAGGAATCATACCCTATTAGATATGGTATGTTCCATGATGAGTAACGTTGACTTACCTTTTTCATTCTGGGGGTATGCGTTAGAAACATCAGCACACTTACTGAATAGGGTTCCAACAAAAGCAGTGCTTAAACCTCCATATGAGATTTGGTATGGGATGAAACCACAACTTAATTATATTAGATTTGGGGATGTCATACTTATGTTAAAAGCAAGATCCAAAAAGTTAGAGACACGATCAGTATTGTGTAAATTTGTAGGATATCCAAGAAATTCCCATGGATATCAATTCTACCACATCGATAAACAAAAGGTAATTGTTTCTCGGTATGCTACCTTCTTGGAGAAGAAATTTCTTGAAAAAGAAATTAGTGGGAGCATGGTAGAACTAGAAGAAATTTCAGACATACATATCAATACTGATAATTTAGTAGAACTAAAAAATTTAGTTGTACTAGAAGAACCTCAACCACTCCGTAGATATCCAAGGTGATCTCATGCACCTAAGGGACAATATGATTTTCTCGTTGAAGGTAGCATGTTAGGCCACGTCATTGATGATGACGAACCTTTGAGTTATCAACAAGCCTCTCAAAGTAGGGACTCAATTGCTTGGCATGATGCAATAAAATCCAAAATAGACTCTATGTACACCAACAAAGTATGGATCTTAGATAATGCTCCTAAAAGGGTAATACCCATAGGTTGTTGGGTGTAGATGGGAACGTAGAGACTTTTAAAGCTAAACTGGTAGCTAAAGGTTTTCGTCAAACACCTGGTTTGGACTATGCTAAAACCTTTTCCCCAGTGGCTATGCTAAAGTCTATTCGGATCCTACTTGCTATAGCTCCTCATTATGACTACGAGATCTGGCAAATAGACGTGAAAATTACTTTCTAAATGGTGATTTAGAAGAGTGTATATATATGTCTCAACCAGAGGGATTTGTAGTCAGTGGGAGTGGTGGAAAAGCATGTAGCTTGCTTAAAGCCATTTATGGACTGAAACTAGCATCGCGGAGATGGAACATTTGTTTTGATGATGCTATCAAAGGGTTTAATTTCATCAAAAATCCAGATAAACCATGTGTGTATAAAAATATTTTCTTATTTTGTATGTAGATGATATACTCTTAATCGGTAATGACATACTGTTATTACAAGCGGTTAAAATTTGGCTATCAAAAAAAATTTCTATGAAAGTTTTGGGTGAAGCATCCTGTATACTGGGTATTAAGATCTATAGAGATAGATCTAAAAGGATATTAGGATTATCCTAATCTAGATACATTAGCAAAGTTCTAAAATAGTTTAGCATGATAAATTCTAAGAATGGTTTCGTACCTGCATCTCCTGGAATCTCTCTCTCTAAAAAGATGTCTCCCTAGACTGATGAAGAGAGGAAATACACGGGTCTAATTCCTTATGCCTCGATAGTAGGATCGATCATGTATGCCATGTTATGTACTAGTCTAGATATCGCTTATTCACTTAGTTTGGTAAGTAGATACTAATCTAATCATGGATAAGAGCACTGAAAACTGGTCAAAAATATACTTAAGTACCTGAAAAGGACTAAAGAATTATTTTTAATATACGGTAAAAGTGACCTCCAAGTGGAGGCTTTTTCCGACTCTAGCTTTCAGAGCGATATCGATAATAGTAAATCTGTTTCATGATATCTTTTTACCCTCAATAGAGGGGCTATCAGTTAGAAATGTTCCAAGCAGGATACAATAGCAGACTCTACTGTGGAAGCCGAATATATTGTGGCAAATGATGCAGTATAAGAAGATGTTTGGATGAGGAAGTTCCTTTCAGAGCTGGAAGTTGTTCTCACCATTAAAGATCGGGTACCTTTATACTGTAATAATAATGCTGCAATAGCTCTGACAAAGGAATCCTGGTCTCACTATAAGTCCAGACACATTCTGAGGAAGAATCACTTGATCAGGGAGATAGTTGATCACTAAGAGATCAAGATTGAAAGAGTAGACTCAAAAGATAATATAGTAGATCCATTCATAAAGGCAATTGCTCGTACACAATTTAAAAACTTGTTGAGTTATTAGGTATTAGATATTACAATGATTGGCCTTAGTGCAAGTGGGAGTTTGTTAGATATAGATGCCCTGTAGATAATAATTGTATATTACAACAATACCTATATGAATATAACATCCTTGTTCAAAATGATAGTATGTTATTTTGGTCAGTATTTATCTGATATTTTTTAAATACAAATAAAGTCTTTAGAATGATACTACACTATCAGAATTTTGATAGTGATCATAATGAAGAAGAGATGTGATTATTCGCTAACGTATATTCTAAAATGGTCCTAGTTGATGAAGTGTCGACATAGGATATCATCACTTTGGTAAATACTAGTTTATACTCTATTTGTCCTTTAGAAGGACGATGATCCATCTCTTTGATCATTGATGCTGAGACATAAAGATAAAGTATACAGGTGGCTCATTAGTGAATGAGTTGACTGAACGGCTCACCGAGAATATCTAGTTAGTAATTATACTTAACTGTCAAATAGAAGTTCTCAAGTGATATAGTACAAGTAGTCTCTTGACCTGAGGCATGAGTGTAATATCTTACATGTCAATATAGGTGTACTTAGGCTTTTATCTAACCATAGTTCTTATGAGTTATGCATAATGGTTCTTATTAGGTGCATCCCGAGACATAACTAGATATTGAGATGCCAAGATGAGATTTGTCTCTCCCACTCTAAGGGGTTGGTGTTATAAGATTGTTTGATATAACTATAAGCTGAAAATGCTTGGCCAAGATAAATAAGATAAACCGAGTGTTAGTTTAATCTTAAATGTTACTAGTGTGCACCCCGTGCAAAGCACGGCTCGCTATTTTTTTAAGTATTGCATTTTGAACTTACTTTTC